AGAAATAAAGTGATATTTCAGAGGTAGAGCAAATCAAAAAGTTCAGGCCCAGATTGGCTTAACCTACTTGGTTACATATGAAGACAACAGTAGTAATGATTGAGAGTTGGACTGAAAATGTATTTCAAAAACTTCCTCTGAAGAGACAAAACTATTAAGAACTGATACTTATTGGGCATTTGAAATATCCCAGGATCTCTTTTAAGAGCTTCAAGTGTGAGTCTTATTTCTTTCTCTCACTAATCCCATGATGCACATGATATATGTTCACTTTAAAAAGAGAGCAAAATACAAGTGAAGACCTATTTATACACACAGATACTGAGAGTTGAAGGTTTGAAATGTGGATTTAGTGTAAAGTCTGACCTTTAAACTATTACATTTTCTTGCTCCAAATCGAGAAATGTATAAGGGGAGATTAATGATTCAATTTATAATCTCTTGATACTTTTTGTTCAGTATAAGATTACAGTGATCTGATCATGGCTTTCTAATGTACAAAATTTTCTGCAAAATAAGTTTTGGCCTAGAGAGGAATAATAAATAAGAACAAATACTAAGGAGGTACTGTGATGAGATCAGTCAGGAAACCTAATTGGTTGGTTAGAAGGCATAAAATGAATGATTCTGAAAGGGTAGTATTTTTGATATGAATGATAAGACTTTTTAAAACATGGAAATTTAAATAATAGCATTTATAAGTAAAACTTACAACCAAAGACTTGCTTCTTCTTAAATTTTATAAATTTATAATTTTATTGTATGTCCAATTATCCCTAAGATAAATGACCCAAAATACCCTGCAAATAGTACAATGTAGAAAAGATGCCTTGGGTGAACACTTACTTACATGTGAACTGTTTTTCCATATACTTATAATAATACTATACAGAGTAATTACAGCTTGAATTTCTTAATGTTAAGGAGACAGTATGATATACACATATAATAATTTATATTGTACCATAATTTTCAAGTTATTTGTGTATATAAATTAGTACAGTTCCTCTTTAGTATTTGAGTTATAAACCTTTTTAATATTGACTACATACCCCTCATCACATTTATAAACAACTTTTGCACCATATACAAATTCATTTCCTCCTTCAAGATGAAAAGAACCAAATGGAGTATCGCCAGGATGTCCACAAGGCTTCTCTAAAAATAAAAAAAAATATATATATATATATGTATTAGTATGTTATACAGGGAACACATTTTATATAGGAGTTGGTGGACAAAGATATTTGG